ATTAAATCCAAAGATTATTATTATTATTATATAGTGTGTGGAGGACTGGTTCCTGGTGTAGGAGAAATACGTGACTCTAGCCTAATTTGGACTGTGTGAACCCAGTTTCTAGTTGTGTAGGCGCCACAGCTAACACTTCCCCTAAATCAGCACAAATTGGCAGTCTGATTCAGAGTTCACAAAGACAACTGATGGGACAGGAGTAATCAAACTGATGAGAGTAGCAGACATTCTAGAAAGTTAAATGCAATATCCTGTGACAAAGAAGAGGGAGCTTTATTTTCATCTATTCTATGCTCTATTTGATCTGAAGGTCTTTGATGCTGGTTTTGAAATGGAAATAGAAAATATTCCACTTGCTAGAACTATCAGCTTCTTAAAAGAAGGCAATTCTGAAGAATTTGGTGTTACTTTTGAAGATCATTGTACGAAAGAAAATATGTATGTGTGTGGAAAAAGATGTTTTTATCTGTACTCAAATGAAAGGTTAACAAATTTAAAGCTTTTGAAGTTGGGATTGATTATGCAATGGAATTACATTGATATTACAGAATAAAATGGAGTCAAAAGCAAATTAGACCACTCAGATGTCCGCAATAATGAGAGTAAAACATTTACTGTGGATTAGATCAACTCTGAAGTAAATAGCTGAGTACGCTCTCTAGATTTGTAACAGAAAAATTATAACAGAATGTACCACAGTGCTGACAGCCTGGTATTAGACATTAACACGATGAGAGTTTTTTACTTTAATGGGTTTTCTTTAATTGCAAAAAGCAATGAAACATGTAACGAACAATATTCAACCACGGTTTTGCAAAATGCAATATTACAAATCACTTTTAGAAGCAAACACAACCTCATAAATAGGTTTGTATTTTAATGTTATAATTTTGTGGGGTGGGGGGGGGCAGCTCTAATTGGTGTTTATATGGAACCTTTATTGACTCCATAAACTCCTGAACTGAAAGCCTGCATAGAAGCGCAGAAATGCACAAGACAATAAGAGACCATTTGGCCCATTTGTCATGTCAGTGTTCATTCTTTCAAGACCCATTCCATCTTAATCCCATTTCCATTCTCTTTCTCTGTATCTTTGAATGTCCTTTCACCTCTGGGTTGGATTTAAATCCAGACCCCAGATTAATGGGACCAGGGTTTCCATGCTCTATTGGTGGTGACAATCTAGTGTTTTGCCAGAAGGTGCAGCGTCTCACCTCAGTCCTGTTTGGTGGGGATGGTGCAAATGCCAGAAATCTGCACTAACATTGCTGTAGCACCGAGTAGTACTGGAGGGATAGAGGAAGAGTATTCCAGAGTTTCAGGGTGTAGTGGCTGAAAGCGTGGCTAGCGAGAGTGGAACGGAGGGCACGAGGGGCAAGCAGGAGGTCAGAGCCAGTCGAGTGGAGGCAGCAGACAGTGGGTTGGGGAGTAGCAGGTCGGAGAGATAGGGAGGTGTCAGGGCATGAAGAGATTTGAAGATGAGTGCGAGGATGAAATGAAAATTAACACGACGGACATTTAATTCCTTACTGCTCAGCTCTTATGCAGTAACAGCAGCTAATTCATCAGACTGTGGCAGCTTGGCTCACTTAGTAGCATGCTCACGTCTGGCTCAGAAGATTGTGGATTCAACCCCCAGATTGGCACTTCACTCATAATTGAAGCTGATGCCTTGTGTGGTGCAAGGGCACAGCTGCATTGTCTGAGTTGCTGTTTTTTGGATGTATCAATTATCAATAGTTTTATATTACTTTATTCTCTCTTAACCGCATTTTAGCAGAGATCTAACACAGGAAAATTTGCTTTTGATGCAAAGCTTTCCTAGACCAAAATGACAGATACTAAATCACTAACAAGAAGCAATAGAGTGTGCAATGCAACATGATGCAGTGGGCTGATCAAATACAAGTAGCCCCACAGAAGAAATCATGGAAATGTAATGCAAGACACAGTGTGATACCTCTTCAAGACCTTCTTGACTCCCAAGATTTTCATTACCAGTATTTCAAATGAATTGCTAAATAATGCACATTATTATATAGAGACATGTTTGGAGTGAATTCCTCCTTTCCCTCCACCCTAAAACAAACAACAATGGCGTGGTCTGAAGTTTGTTTCTTTATAAAATTGTTCATTTGCTCCTCAATAATAGTCGACTCTGGATACTTTCAAATCAACACCCATTTTTTTTTAGATTTCTTAGTTTTCTTAGACCATGGCTGACCTATAACTCAGTGGAGTCCTGTAGCTCAGTGGTTAGAGCACTCGCCTTGCAAGCGAGATACCTGGGTTCAATTCCAGGCCGGGCGAAACCTTGGGCAAGTTTCCTTACTCTACACACCTAATAATAATCCCTCCAAAAAATCAAAACAGTAATAAATTGGTCATTTTCAATCCACGACTGTTTGTGGGACACTGCTGTGCGCAATTGGCTGCTGCGTTTTGCCCACAAATATGAAGTCAATTCACTTTACAGCATATTCTGTGAAGCACTTTGAGACATCTAGAAGACATGAAAAGCGCTATATCAAATTCAAAGATTATTATTACTATTATAATGTCTCACTACTCTCTTCTATTTCTAGCTGGGGTTACCAGGCAGATAGACATGTAGGCATGTATAGGCATGTAGCCTATGCCAGTGATCTATCTCATGACACTAAGGCGAGTGAGATTAAACCTTTCTTGTCACTATAGTAGACCACAGACATCTTGTTGGTCTACATTTTCATAGCACTGTTGTGCATTCAGCCCTGATGTTTGCAAAGAAGGCCACAAAAAAGGATTCGTTCAATCTTCTCCACCCTAACAGCCAATAATATGACATGAATAACTGAGGGCATAGTTCAGAAGAAGGCCTTATAGACAGCAGAGTGCAGGAGGGTAACATGAATGCTCAATACCATTTTCCTTATAATGGCTGTGCTCCAGGTGATATTCCCCTGTGGGATATGTGAGAGATCAAACGATCGAAGAAAAATCTACATTACATCTGATATGGTGTGCAATTCTCTTGCAGCGATTCACAGCTGTGTCATATCCGCTCCCTTCAACTTTCCACATGTTGGCTTTGAAAACATATGAATTGATAAGATGACAATCTGTTAAATAATTCACATCAGCTAAGTGCAGGCCACATTGGTAGCAGTACATTCTTAACACTACAGTACGATCCAGGACTGGAAGGAGAATTGTGAATGAACAGACAGACCAGCTTTCTGAAGTGTTCTCAAGTAAAATAGGGTTTGAAATGCTTGGTTCATTGCTAGCAATCAACCTAACTACTCGTCACAGTGAGCATGCAAGACAAAAGATTTTTGCAGCCTGATTTACACATGCCTATTCAAAGTATTGTAGACATCCCTCTTCTTCATTTATCTCTGCAACCAGTCTCAACAATCCACTATTCACAAGGTGATCTGCTGCTACAAGCTCTTGCCATGTGGAAATTAAATTATTGTGACTGAATGATTGAATGTCAACATTATAATAGTATCACCCCACTCAGCCTTGCTGAAACGAAAGCCAATACTTGCTTTCAAAGCAAGGATTCCAATATTCATCTGTACTGCATCCCACATTCACAACACTTACTGTAGTAGTAAGAAGATGCACTTACATAGTGCTTTTCACATAGCATAAGCATTTCAAAGTGTTTTACAGAGACGATGGGGGCCACCAAACAGGGAGAAAAGGACATTTTTAAGAGGGGTTTGAAGCCACAGAGAGAAAGCCTCAAGGCAAATTAATTTGGGGAACGAGCAAGATATAATAAGATAGTAGAATAAGTAGAATAAACAGCCACCGATGGTGAGATGGAGCAGGAAGAGGAACTAACGGTTTCTGAATGGAAGCACGGATTTCACAGAATTTCATGACAACTTCAAAAATTGCCAACAATTAGCAGCATATTCTGGCAAAATGGAACATTGTCACTCTTTTCTGTTCCAAACTGAAGTAAGAATGAGGCGAAGCCGAGATTCAGTGGCTCCTCAAGGTTTGAGATCTTTGGCCATTTAAGCCTATCACCATGACTAGGTTAGTTGTTAAACAAATCTACTATCATCAATAATTCTGCACTCAATCAGATTTTGGACCGATTTCATTTTTATCAAAGGCCCTTTCAATTTTCCTGGAGTAAAGTGTTTGTGTCCAGCATTTTTTTTGTGTGCCTTTATTTGATTGCTGTAATCTGCAAATAGATTTACTCTGGTGTAATTGGAAAACGCCTGTATGGTTGGTAAAGACTATTAGAAATACACTAAGTGTAAAGGATTAGTTAAGTTGTTAAACGTGTACTGCAGAACAAGGCAAGTGCTACAGAGGTCCGCTTCTAGTTCAAAGGAGACGAGGATCTGTGTGTGTAAATTCTGAGCACATTTTAAAAACAAATCAATTAGATTTAATTTGATCAAAGTTCACTAGAAGACATCACTTTACATGACATAATTACCATTAAAAAAAGGACATTAGTTAGAAGGGATGTAAGATAATAATCCTTACATTTGATATAGCGCCTTATTACATTGCCTTTCAAATTATTTCACAGTATTTACTGTGAAGTGACTGTATGTATAGGTGAACACATGCCTATAGGTCACTATGCGCACAACAATATCCCACAAACAGTCATAAGTGAATGATCATTTTTTTCTGGGTGATTGTTGGCCAGGATACTGCACTTGGAAACCTTCCTTTTGACTGTGCTTCCCTGCCCCCTTGCTCGGAATCCAACCCTGCCCTTGTGAAGTGCTCCAAAATGTTAATCTACATGAAGGGCGCTGTATAAATGCAAGTTGTTTTTGCTGGATATTGCAGGTTAACAATGAAATTCCTTACCTAACAGTGACTTAAAATGGCTTCAGCGAATGTGGTAAACAAAATTAAAACCAACAGAAGTGTCTTAACTCTGCACTAGAATGAAACAAGGCAGCTTTAAAACAAATTTAATCTTTTGAGATTAAAAAGAAAGAGAAAATCACTTAAAGTTACAGTACCTAGCTTCTGTCCTGTGTTTCCAGATTGCAGCTTGTCTCCTTCAATTTTAAATCAGAAATACAAAGTTAACATAGAAATATTCTCCAAGGCACAGAAAGAAAAGACAACCTCAGTCTCTACACTGCCGCAGCTGATATGATCGGGCTGGAGAACAAACAAAACACAGTGAGCAGTGAAGGTCACTTGTGTCCCAGCTTTAGCTGCTCTCAGTTAGAATTATTCAGCAGCTAGATGCACTCCCCAGCTATCAAATTGAATTCAAGAGGATTTCAGTGAACATACACACACACACACATACACACACAAACACACATACAGAATGCAAAGAAAATCAGATTTACTTACCACCATCTTTGCATTCTTCTGGGGGTTTTGCCTTTTTAGCCAAACGTGGATCTAGCCAGGATGTTGTTTTGGTGTTGTGACTACGAGAGAAACAGACCGGTTTCAGTGGAAAGAAACACAGTTCTGGGGTCCTATTTGAACTGGACAATGAAGCCCATTTGCGATCGATGCTTAATTTGCTTACACAATCTGCAATGAGGTGCAACACAAATTGTGCAAGCCGGCTGAAATTTTTGGCAAGTTCAGCTCCTTGTATTGGAGAGATACTATCACACTAAAATTGGGCACAGTGTTTCTCAGTATCACCTTAAATGAATAGATGCTGCCATTTAGTCAGCTAGGAATTTGATTAAAACGGCTTACTCAATAAAATAGACTTCGCCTTTTTCTGTGTATGCCATCTCCCAGTTGTCTGGCAATGGTCCCAGTTCATCTCCATCTTCTGGCTTGATTGGCTTTTTCGAATTGGGTTCTGCTTTTGTCCGCTCTGTTTGGCTGTAGATTGGGGCAGCGGTAGTCTGTGAACAGATCTCACCTGAGGCGTCAGTGCTTTTGTCTTCGTGTTCACTGGATTCTGTTGGAGGAAATGTATAATCAACCCAAGCAGAACTGAGACACACAAAGACACAAATGCATAATCAATACATACAAAGTCAATTAGCTATAAGCCAGCTTGGGTCTTTCATAGTACACCTTTGAGCAGCGGTGGCCAACCTTCTTAGTTGGGCAATAAAATACTTATAGAAATAACAAAACAGCATACATTTATGCTACAATGCAATAAATATTCAATCAAGACAATTTGTGCACGAGAGGATTCAATGGTCTTTGTTTTAAGATCAAACAGCAAAAAAAAACATTCTGAGAGAATTCCTACACACTCAAATAAAGTGAATTAAATCCAATGGAAAAACAACCAATTCTAAAAACTAGATGAATTGAAACATTTTGTTTAAATTTATCAGTGGAACATAACTTTTGGTGTAAGTTGGGAAACTATGTATAGCTGGAACGTGTTTGATCAATCGATCCCTCGCTCACTCACTGACTCCAAACATTCCCTGTTCTTGTTTATCATTAACTCCATAGGAATGAGGATAGCCCTTTGATTCCACACACAAAAAAATCTTTCATACTATCTGGAAGTTACTAATAATTAGGATATTTTCTGGGACTCAGCTCGTGGGGATGTCCTCCCGATGTGGAATGCGTTATTATAAATGCAATATGTTGTTGTTGTTGCACTGACTTTGCACACATTCTCTGTCAGCAACTTGCAGGACAATTGTTGTGGAACCTTGTTATAATGTGGTGATTGGGATCCATAAAAAACAGGCTTGATAGCTGGTTTCATTGTGCAGGTGCACAGCTCGCTCCCTGCATGGCAGCCATTTTTAAAAAATGTCATCTGTTCGCCACAACATCACTTCTGGTTCGCTGCCTATGCACAAAGCAGGAAGTTTCGTCAATAACGACCTGGAAGTTGGCTATTTTAGCGCAAAAACAGGCTGGTGTGCGGGAAACAAGCTGCATGCACGCGCAGTGAATAAGATCTACATTGCAACTACACTGTAAGTAAATTTGGGCTATAAGGAAGTGTGTTATAATGTATTTGTATTGCACGCTCCAGTGATTAAACCATTCCCACAACAGATGCACTTTATTGTTTATTTCATAAGTAGCCCTGCTTTCTGCAAAATATTTAGCCTGTTTCCAATCAATGCTATAATCTATCATTAGACACAATAGCTTATATGTGAAGAGAAAAATTAGTAGTGAGAAAAAGGAAATGGTGAACAAACATTCATAATAAGACAAGAGCAAATAATCCACTGCAGAGTAAAAGACAGCTTTTTTCCCCAAGGGTAGAAAAGTGATGACATATCATTGAAACAATACTCGACAAAAGTAAGATTCTCAAACAAATTCCACACACATGGTCCTCCTTCGCTACTTTAACATTTCTACAAAGCCAGATTCACCATCAAAGACCTTGTCTTTCAACTAAACAAACCCTAGTAGTGCTATTACTTTAGTATCTGTTGAAATGTTCGTGTTCAAACTGAGAATCTGCCCTAGATTCCAAAAGCATTGCTATCCCTTAAAACAATGTTACTGTTCCCCAACCCCCCTATATGCACTTTTTACACAAAGAAACAAGGTAAGACACTCTTTAAAAAATTACAATGTCTTCCGTCCGCTCGGTGGATGATGTATGCAGAATCACATCACCTTGCTTTATGGTGCCCAAACCAAACTACTGAGAGTTTCGAGTAATGTATGGCAACTTCCTTCTATCTGGTATGGAGTGCACACTCTCTCCCCAGAGGGACATCCCCTACATATCTAATCCAGGAGAAAATACAGCAAGAATGTGTGATGTCAAATAACCTACTTACAAATCTGAACAAACCCAGATGTGTATGCGAATAGGAAAGGTCGAATCAAATTTTGTAAGAAGAGGGAGGCAGGAAACGCAGGGGAAGAACTCTAGCAATGTTAAAATAGAGTCTGAGGGGATGGGAAATGAGGGAAATGAGGAAATGAGGTGGCTGAGTGGGAAGTGCTTACTGATACCTGCTTCATTTAGGCCCTAAATCTCACCATGAAAAAGTGTGTTGTAAATCAGGCTGGCGTCTGAAAGCAAACCATTGCCAAGACAAGATGGTTTCAGTAGAGTATTGACTCCAGTGTAAATAAAGGCAGTGCAATCTGATGCAGAACCGTTATTTAATGTTGTCAAAGATAATAATAAAAATCGTTGCATTTGATGCAGCGTCTCGTCTCTTCACATCTTTGAGACGTCTCAAATTGCTTCACAGAATATACCATAAAGTGAATTGACTATTTGTGGGAGAAATGCTTCATTAATTAATTAAGATGTCATTAATAAGCAACCGGGTCTCTAATAACATTAAAGAAACGCCAACACCCAATATCAGAGTTCTGTAAATGCATGGAGGTGCTCTCGGGCTGAGCAAGGCGGTCAGAAAAGAGAAGCATAAATCATGCTCCTATCACTTTACTGCTGAAAGCGGAATCATATCACTTCTAACATATAACCTAGACATGTACATAGGAGGTCAGAAAAAACTTTCACTTCTTATAAAAGAGAAATAATAATAATAACAATAAATAATCCTTGCATTTGATATAGTGCCGTATCAAGTCACTGAGGCATCTCAAAGCGCTTCACAGGATGATAATAATACTCCTTGCATTTGATACAGTGCCTTATCACGTCTTCGAGACATCTCAAAGCGCTTCACAGCGTATACTGTAAAGTGGATTGACTGTGCATTCTGCGGGTGAAACGCAGTAGCCAGCAATGTCCTGCAAACAGCCATTGAAGTGGGTGACCAATTTTATTTGGCGGATTTGTTGGCCAGGACACTAGGAGAAACTCCCTTCACTTTTTGAATAGTGCCATGAGATCTTTAATGTCCACCTGAACAGGCAGATGGGGCCTCAGGTTAATGTCTCATCCGAAGAGATTACCCTTCACCTCTCACTCTCGGGGTTATCCTCGCCAATGTTGAAAATACACACATTTCTTAGAGGTAAACCAAGAATGTAATGTTTCTACTTGGTTTGCAACTCTAGACTTACCAGCATGGACTAATTGGGTTGAATGGCTTGTTTCCATGCTGTATCAATCCTATGCCGTATCACTCTATGTGACTTGTGTCATTTTTCTCAGTTACCACCAATGGATTGGAGATGGCAGAAAGCACAACCTTGTCATCAGTGTCCAACATTCGAATAATATTTTGTTACTATCTCCATTGAATGCAATTTGCACACGTTTCGAGTACTGTACTACTGAAAGCACGCACACGTTGTAATACAGTGCTACCTACTTATCTTGAATCCGTTCATATCGCCATCCCACATATGTCAACAAAAAACTGTAATTTTTTCAAATCCCTAAGAGTACTACATACATTGTGCTATTACCGCTTATGTCAACAACCCCCTTACAGTCGCATCGTAAGCGAACCCGCATGATATAAGGGTTCTCCTGCAGCGAGAAGAAGGAAAGGCAGGACGAGATATCATACATGATGTGCTCAATTCATCAGCGTTGCTGTCTCCTCCGATATTGAATCCACACATGGTCCGACATGATAGATAATAACACTTTCACTTTGTTTTGCCATTGTTACTATTTTAAAACTCGCAAAAGGATTATCAGGAGTTTTTCTTTCCAGGGATCATTTTTTTTTCAAAGTCTAATGTTATCAGCATTTTGTGTTGTGTAAGAGGTCGACAAACTTGACAGATGTAACGTACAACTTTTTCGTTCCCAGCCAAACAGTTTGATACGTGAAATTGTCTTTTATCTGTAACCTTCAATGCTCCTTCCTTGTACCAGTTAATGTACCATTAATATATGTCAGATGACAGCTATTGTCTTTCACACTGGGCAAGCACATTGTTCCGTTACCCTCTGGGATCCCTGTTTGTATTCCGCCCAGACTGATGGGATGGAAGTCTCCTATTTCTGTGGAATGTTTCTACATGAATGGAGCAATTTCGAACGAGTTCCTTCTGATTTAGTATCCCATACATTTCAGCACTGGAAGATGTAATTCCACCTATCAAGCCTCTCCTCCACTGCAGCTATGATGAGCATAATAATGATAATCCTTGCATTTGATATAACGCCTAATCACGTCTTCTAGACATCTCCAAGTGCTTCTCAGAATATACTGTAAAGTGAATTGACTGTATATTTTGTGGGCAAAACGCTATACACTTTAATCATAATTGCTTGCTCTTTACCTTTATCACTTGCTGTGAACGGGACACAAATCTACATGGGGAAATACCTTCTTTTTTTTAACACAACTTACCTATGTGTCCATTGTAACATCAGTATGATTTGTGAGTGATTTATTCAATTAATACAAAATAAATTAAAAATCAGCCCAATTTCCACTAGCAGCCCACAATTTAACACAAAGCAGCTCTCAACTGGAACCTCACTCACTGGGGCTATTAGGATGCCTGATGCAAAAAACATGGAAAAAAGAAATGGGACAAATAGAGGGAAGCTATTGTCGGAAGTTGGGAGATACGATCCATCAGACAATCCAATTCTATTTGGGTGAGGATTGAAGGAGAAGAGGTAATCTGTTTGCATTTTCTCCTTTGAAGATGGGAGCATCACTGGCCTCTAGCAAGCTTAAAAATGACTACCTGCTCAATTGGAGCAAGTTTCCTTACTCCACACGCCTCTGTTAACCTAGCAGTAATTTGCAACCTGGTTGTTAGTTGATTGGCGGATCGATTTCTGGGGGTAATGATCCCACCCCTAAAAAATGTGGTCACTCGACCCACAACTGTTTGTGGGACACTGCTGTCTGCAATTGGCTGCTGGATTTTGTCCACAAAATACATAGTCAATTCGCTTTACAATATATTCTGTGAAGCGCTTTGAGATGTCTCAAAGATGGGATATGGTGTTATGTAATCCCTCAAGAAAAAATAATAATAAATTGGTCACTTCAATCCACAACTGTTTGTGGGACACTGCTGTACACAATTGGTTGCCGCGTTTCGCCCACAAAT